CCTAAACCTTTTTTCGCCTGAAACAGACAGCGGGGTGGGGATAAGTTACCTATTCATGCATAAGTTATAGGGGCCCTAAGCTAAGAAACTACACAAGTATTTTTAAGTTAGGTTAGCCAACACTTTAGCTTACTTCACTAACTTAATTAGCCTAGGCCCAACTTATTGAAACTTAACTTACCAAAGGTTTTGAAAACCCTGACTTCATATACTTTCCAGGTGTCTGGGTCAGGGGTAGCAGCTTTCTTTATCAATGAACTAGGGTGGAAGGACTTCTCAGGCCAGTAGCACTTTTGATTCTCCTGGAATAACCATGTTGCTGGGACGGCTTCTATTTCCCCCCTCGACACAAATTCGACCACTGCCCAGTACGGCATTAGAAAAACAAATTCCTATTTTAATCTGAAAAACTGTTATTGGGCACGGAGTTAAAACGAACAGTAACAGAACAGGCGTTGTGAAATAGAGATGAAGAGAAAGCCAGAGAGAGAGAGGCGAGGCGAGAGACGATCAATAACTTAATAATATAGCACAATAGAATGGCGGAAGCAGGGAGCTATGACTATGACTATGATGGCGATGGCGACGAGGTCCAGCGGTCCAGCTCAGGTCGGCGAGGTTTGGAATAGGATTGAGGAAGAAGAATGATTGCGGGGTGGGAGGTGTCGAGGTGTGGTAGAATAGAAAAGTGGAGTAGTTAGTCAAATTCAATCTATTTATCTATATTTATTTTTGTAATTAAATAAAGTAATTCCGACATTAATTTTAACGTGGCTAGCTTTAATTTATTTTGGTTAAAGAAACGTTAATATTTATTTGAACCTATTGAAGTAAATAAAACTATTTTGTTGATAAATTAATGGTTTTCCTTTATATAGTTCCCGGTATGACCAATTTACCATCAGTTTCCTGCCTGTGTTTTTTTTCTATTGTACGAATGGAACTGCAAAGAGTAGCCTAATCCAAGTATAAGATAAGCAAAACCAGCCTACAAACTAAATACTATATAAAAAATTTGGTTCTGAATATTATAACTTCCTATATAGCTTATAGCTTTACCTAGGATTTAAAACGTTAAAACGGCTATAGATGTGTCATTAATTATTTGAAGTACCTTTTCTTAAACAAATACATATATATATGTGTGTGTGTGTAGTGTGTTGAAAATGTTGGGGGCAAATTAATACACAAAAATTTTATAGAATAATTATTTGTGTTTTCATCTACATAAAGGTGTGTTTAATTCTAAAAGTATTTTTATAATTTATTACAGTAAAATATCGTTCAATATGTTTTGTTTTAATTAGCTTTTGTGTTGTTTTAGTCTATAAATAAAATTAATTAATATACTTTGATATTTGTCATGAAAATGGAAATTTAATAATATTAAAACAAATCCTTTAATATAATAACCAAATTCTTAATAATAATATTTATTTAAACAATATACACAATAAGGACACAGGTATAGAGGGAAATGAGAAAAACTATAGTTAATGTATATTAATAGACATCTTGAAGATATTCATAATCAATATTCTATAAACATTTTAAATTAGATATCCATGGGATGTACATACATCTCCAAAATGATCTGTAGACAAATATATACCTTTTTGGATGTTGATCAGACATATAATTTCAGATATCTTATGAATGTTTAGATTGATATGTCTTATAAATATTTAAAGAACTCTATAAATATCTTTGGACATAAATCAACCTAAATAGATATCTGTCAGACATTCTGTGCTATCTGGGTAGTAACAAGGAGTAAACGAAGGTTACAGACCGCTGGGTTTTACCGCTACAAAGTAGGGTAGGGTGCCGTACTGGCTACACTACTCCACGATAGAACACACGATGAGACAGTCTCCGCATTGGAATTGCAGTTACGCTTATCGACACAGGCAGCAGCACCGGTTTGCTGTTTTCATACGTATAAAGTGCACGGGAAGCCATACCTGACTGGCTTATGGGAGAGCTGACTGGCTTTCGGGCGGGTGACTGCCACACCGAGTAAATTACCAGCGCACTGACTGCCAAACCGGGTGGGCACAAAAGTATATATTTATATATATATATATTTATATATATATATATATGTGTCCGTCAGCACGATAACTCGAACAAAAATTATCCGATTTTGATGAAATTTGGTATAAACGTGTAAACCTACATTTATTTGAACGAGTTCGCGAACCAGCATGATCGGACCATGGGAACAGGGGTTTATGGGGGGTTTTATGGGGTAAAAATGGGTTTTTCCCATTTTTGACCCTAAAAACATAAAATTTTGGAATTTTTTTCTCAACCATTTTGTAGAGCTTAAAAAAGTAAATAATTTAGTATATTGAAACATTGTTGTATGCCTAATGGTTACGGAGAAAATTCAAAAAAGTGCAAATTTAAAATTCCCATGTTATTCTTACGGAGAAAATGAAAACTGTTGTGGTTTACTTGTTTATGGATATATATTGATAAAATTTGGCAAATTTATTTATTTCATCCTATACTACTGACTTATGGTCGAAAAACGCTTTTTACCTTCCCTGTAGCAGCAAACCTAAGCACTCGTTAAATCTAAATGTTATTTAAATTGAGAATAAATATGTCTTATATATGGAAATATTTTAGTAAAAATGTAATCAGACAAGTTGAAATTCGCTTAGTTTGCAGGTTTGCTGCGGCGGGGGTATTGTTTACATTTGTGCAGATTGTTTACATTTGTGCAGAGAAGGCAATAAATAATAATAACATTCCTACAGCTGTTAGTTAAAACCATTTAAATGAAGCTACAGACAGTTTCTTCATGAAACAGTTGCTTCATATTGATTAATAAACTATTTCTTGCCATGGAGACTAAATAAGTTACATTGAAAAAATGCATTTTGTTTTGGTGACTATAAAAAAGGTATTTCAACGTTTGACCTGATTTGTGTATGATTCTGTTTTGAGTATTGAATGTTCTGACTTATAAAAACATAGTGAATAGCTGTATGATATTGACAATTTAAGGTGTATTGTGAAAACCAAAGCATTCGTAAAAGAGGTCTAAACATAAATTAGATGCAATTATTCCTTAAACGACATAAGAGGTGTGAGATTGCACAATCGTCAATTGTCTTAAAAGTGTTTAATATTTTTATTACTAAATATGCATTTGAAGACATGGAGTGTTTATTAATATTCTTCACTGTCTATAATATTATGCCTGCTTCGGAAATGGGAAGCTGATTTGAAATTTCGACTACATCTTGAGCAAACAAAACCACCTACCCCTTACACCACTTTTAGCTGAACCAATCTTTCATACACGTATTTTTCAAAGGTAATATACGTGATAACAACCAATTTTCTACCTTTAAGAGATTTTTTAGTGCTGGTGGCTGAGGAATAACTTTCTTATTGTTCCAAAAGGCTTGAGACATTACTGTATTTCGTTTTATAATGTAGAAGTACACCAATTGCAGGAAACGATGTCTGGCATTTCAATGTCTCTAGGAAAGACATTCTTTTTTCATTAGGCCTAATAAATGTAATGGACAACTCTTTGTTTTTTTAAAGGAAAATCCAAAAATGTTAATTTTTATACCCATTGATTATGTAAACTGAACAGGTGACTCAAGCAGTTTAAAAATAATGATTGTTCTGTGGCACTTTTGATTGTTTCAAGCAGTTTTGCTTATCAAAAAACTTCAAGTAATTAATATATAACAAATTATACAGTCACTAAAAATCATGAAATAATTTATTTTTGTAAAAAAATACGACCGACTTCAAAATGCTCTAAAAAGAATGAAATAATTTCAATAAAGTAAACTTTTGTATTAGGCAAGCTCACGTATTTTAAGTCGGCGCGGCTCTATGATGATTTCTGATACAAAATTGAAAGAGTGTGTCCATATTGCAGGTGACTATCTATAACTAAAGGTGTTAATCTGCATGTCTTTTTCATAGTTAATGCGTTAAGTGTTATTTTATTACCGTCATCAGAGATCGGCATTATAGTGGTATTAACGAGTATCTTTAAAAAGATTATAACGCATTTAAATGTTTCTAACTTGGAAAAGTAACGTTTTAATACTAAACTAGCTTCTTTTCCCTATCATAATATCAAACTAAATTATTTTTCTATTCATATAGAACATTTGTGTGTGTTATTTTCATAATGCATTTATATTATATTATTCTGAAGTAAACATAAAATACAAGAAAATATTTCCTTTAATATATAAACAAAACAGTTCAGTATGTTTTTTATATATTTATGTTATCCAGCTACAATTTATTGATTTTCAAAATACACACACAATATTTAATTTCAATCATATTTGCAGTTTGAGCCGCGCCGACTTGAAATACGTGAGCTTGCCTAATACAAAAGTTTACTTTATTGAAATTATTTCATTCTTTTTAGAGCATTTTGAAGTCGGTCGTATTTTTTTACAAAAATAAATTATGTATCCTGAAGCCTGTTGTATGTTTTATGGTAATGATTTTATGTTTTAGTGCACTGATGTTGACTAAATTTGTTCAACTAAACTTTTTGCGTTTGAAATTAAAGCCTTGATAAATTAACACTTTTTTGTAATGTTTTGAAACATATATAAAGCCTATTGATTCACAACTTCTAGATAAAAAAAGTGATATTTAAGAGGAGTGCATGGGTTTGGGGGGCAGATTGGCTACTGAAACAGATTCGCTACAGGTATAAAACTCACTGACCATTCTACGCTGTTTTAAACACTACCCTCCTTAGACTATGTATATAAAAAAAAAATTTGTAATAGTAATTTTTTCTTTAATTATTAGCCAATCTGTGGATGACCAGAGGCTTTGCCATGTAGGCCAAGTATTCCTGTTAAGGAATATTTCCCTTCGGAAGGCTTTAAAAGCGGCCTATACCTTTTATATTTTTCCTGTAGGTTCACTGAGTTCTTTGTGTTTTAAAATGTTTTGCATTCAACTGATAAACCATTAGTTTGTCAAACTGATAGGTAGCAGGAGTGCAAATGACAACCGTCAAAAACTTGCCAGACGGGACGTGGGATTTGGACGAGATGCTGGACAAGATAAGAGACGACTCCAATGTGCACACTGCACAAACATCCCTTATCTGTTTGGAGAACACCCACAACTGGTGTGGAGGAAGGGCACTGCCGTTAGGTTGGGTGGAGAAGGTAATCTGCTATAGCCTACCCTTTAACTTTAAAGCAAAGTAATATTTTTTTCCAATTTTTTTGTTAGATCATGAGATTATGCTTCAAGGTACAGTATCGTCTCTACTACCCAACCGAAACTCGCTCCTGTAAAGTTGGGTGACTTTCAAAATAATAAACACCAATAACCTATATAATAACATAAAAAATTAAAATAAATAAAGTCGAACGTCTATAAGTCGAATTTCGAGGGGCAGGGGAAGAATTGTATTATCGAGGTATTCTTAATAAAGGGTTGGAGGTATAATACTGCCATTATTCGTCTTATAGAGGCTTCTCCTCACTCTGAGACAAGGACTGAGGAAGGAGGATGGGTGGGGGTCTCATGTTGAGACAATCTTCTGTTTGTTTTGAAAACTACATACTATGGAAGTTAAGATCGAGAGACATTTAGTCTTTTAGAGGTCCCATTCGTATTGTAGAAGTTTTGTGCTAAGATTATTTGTTGTATAGAGGTTAATCAGTCATAGCCCATGTCACAAACAAAACTGTGTTATGGAGGTTTTTAACCTAATTAACTTATTATGTTGTTCAGAGGTGCCTTTAGCATTGACCTTTATGAAAGTGTCAAGGGGATGAAAAAAAATGGTCTTATCGAAGAATTTGTTTTACCGAGGTTCGTACTAATGAGGTTCGATTGTAATAATGAAATAAACAAATAAAAATATAACAAGTTTAAGTTTTCTCCATTAGCCATCCACAAACATAAGTTTTTCTTTCATTGAAACCATTAATTTTCCCCGTTTTGAAACCTTCATAATAAATAACATAAAAATAACCGATAGGTACACCAAAAACACCTGTACTGGAACTAAAAAAATACTCGCCCACACATCACTCAGCCACAGTTCGCTCTGTGCAGTAAGAAAGTACAGTGAAAAACAGGTTTATCCAGCCTGACGTTTATCTTATGATTACAGACAGGGGCTGCAAGGACCCCTCACTGGTAGGGCTGTCACTATGGTGTACAGCGATACCACTTGGAATTGTAACTTGATTTCACACTAGTCTATTGTTGGTAGGGAGGTTTGGATCAATTTACTACTGTAAACAAATCTTGAAAAATATTCAATACAATCAAAAACAAATAGACCCCAGGTTCATTTAGAATGGACTTCTAAAACCTGATATTTGAATTTAAGACAAATTGTCCAAACCTATTTAATCTAGCTGCTTAATGTAATGAATTAGAACCCAGCATCCTGGTCCAGGACCTCAGCATTTGTCTGTAATCTGTATCTGTAACACTGTTATGTTTGACAGCTGGCCCAGATCGCCCGAGAAGTAGGTATACCGTTGCACTTGGATGGTGCCAGAGTATTTAACGCTGCATTGTCTAGCGGGGTCAATGTGGCGGAGCTGGTCAAGGACTTCTCCTCCGTCTCTGTTTGTCTCAGCAAAGGTCTTGGAGCTCCGGTTGGGTCCTTGTTGGTTGGAGATAAACAGTTCATAAACAGGTTAGTGTTTTAAAACTGTTTGATACCTTACTAAATGTTAATTACTGCATCATAAAAGTACTATGCCTTTTTCTTTTTAGGTTATTAATTTTTATTTCTACCTATGGCAATATAGTGTGTAGTTTAATACTACTTTACATCCTTAGCTTAATCTTTCTACTTAATTTTATCAAAGTGAAAGTTGTGAATATGTCAAATTGATATTAACATGAACAACTTTGGACCAATTGAGCTGAAATTTTGCAGGAATATAACTAATATACTACAGGATGGACAGTGTCCTATATTAGGTTGGAACTCATTGAGATCGGGCCTAATGCAAACTTTGTAATCTTATCATGCTATAACAGCTGTACATAATTTTACCCAAACTTCTTTCCATTAAAAGTTATATTGACTGGCAGTTGGAATTTTTTTTAACAGACAAATTTCAATTTGATAACACCTTTAAAATTTAAAACTAACATAAAATTTCTCAATTTTGAACATTAGACTAATGGGTTGCCAAGTAGCCATGATGCTTTTTTGAACATCTAGCCAAGGATGCAATTTAGTCCGCCGGCTTACCTGATCAAGCATTGTCAAAAGCAAGTACTACTGATATCAAGAGCTCGCTAATTAAACCATCTGCGATAGGGAGAGTAACAAGCATATTTAGCAAAAACAGTAAATGAACTCTTTAAGCCCATACATATGTTACTTTGTTTTGTTGGTGACACTCCAGAGCTCGCCGCATGAGGAAGGTGCTAGGCGGGGGCTGGAGACAAGCAGGGATTATAGCAGCAGCGGGGATATTTGCCCTAGAGCATATGGTAGAAAGGCTCGCAGAGGACCATGCAGCAGCTAAGATCATAGCCCAAGGTAAAAATGATACTTAAAAAAAATTATAAATGTAACAAACAATTATGGACTGAACTATTAAAAGGATGCAGGGAAAAGATAAATTAGTAAGGAAATTCATCTAGGCCCTATCCATCCATTTCATCAATCTTTATTTTGAAAAATAGCTCGATTAGCTCTATAGCCACTGAGAAATTAGGGATCAACTGAGTATTAATACATAGAATTATGCACTTTAAAAGCAATCCAGTGTGAGATTTTTATTTCTGTAAAAAATAAAAATAAATGCAAAAAAATTAGTGTTTAAGTAGGAACCAAAGCATTAAAGCAAACTAATTTTCATTTAAGAATTTTGTAGTTTCTCAATATTTAAAATACTAATTAAATGGAAAGAACTAAACAATCCTATCGCCCACTGAACCAAGTGTTTTTCATTGAATTGAGTTTGGCAACATTTTCTGTCTCTGAGAATAGAACTTTGCCAATTCCAGACAAATTTGATTAAGATCGTTGGGAATTCTCCATTCCTTCCTTGTAATGGTTTATACCCTTAATCCCACTAAAGGGTGTCATAAAACCTTTTTTATTCTTACTGTAAGATTAACTTATGAATGCAATAGTAGCTCAGACTTTAATAAATTAAGCTTAACATAGCTGTATTAATTGCTTTCTTTCTAGTCCACGACTATGTGAAATTAAATTCTTAATTTACATACGTAGTTCTCATATCTTCACTATTATTTTTTATTACATTTGTATTCATCTATTTACTTTATAACAGTTAAAGACAGGGACCAAACACCATTTGCGAACCTAAGATATCGATAAAATAAATCGCCACTGTGTACAAAAATTACTTTAAAACTTAAACCAATTTAATAATGTTACATTGCAATTTTATCTATTTTACATTTTGAGAGGTACAAAAGATAAATATAATATATGTTTTGTTGAAAATGGCATGTGTTTCTTTATAAGTTAGTTTATTTCTCTGTTATCCATAATATTATAAAGAAGAGGTAGTGCCTGTGTGTCTCTATGTCTTTTCACTTTCTTACAAACAAACTAAATATTTTAATATTTTAGACAACCATGTGGTAGGCTTATTTACAGTAGACTCCCTCTTATCCGGACACCTTTTAACCAGACATTTGGTTTAATCGGACTACACTTGGCGGAAATGACATCTCTTAACTGAACAATTTTTATCAGCATATCGGTTTAACCGGACTAGAGGCAGGAAGTGGGCGGTAATGAAACAACTGTACTCGTGGGAAAGATTTGAGACCAGTGATCACGTGTCTAAATACAATGCTCTCCTAAATTTAAGTCAAATACGCATTCAAACGGTCCTTTTAACGAGTTTTTGGGGACGTCCATTTAACCGGAAAAACCGTTATCCGTACTGGCCTCGGTCCCAGAGAGTCCGGATAAGAGGGAGTCTGCTGTACTCTAAGATTGTGTCATTGATTTGAGAAAGTAAGTTCAAGATGCTGTAAGGGCAGCTGTATCAACTTTGGCTCGGGCCCTGAGTTTTAAAGTTAAGTTAAAAAAAAATAATTTTTCTAATAGTATAGTACAGTTTTGTGGAAACCGGAGAAAATTACATTTACTGTTTGCATGTTTTAATTTATATTTTTAGGTTGTTGTTTAGAATGTTTAACTACTAAACATGGTGATGTGATAAAGTACACATTTTTTAGCTAATAAAGTAATAGGTGTTTTCAAAACAAAGATACAACCTAAATGTACATGTTTTTATTTAAGAGAGATAATATTTACATTAACATATTTATTGTGTAGTTTTCTGATTAGTTTAAACTACCACCACAAACTTAGAGGATTTTTGCCCAGGGGTATCTACCATTCAGGCTTTTCTTTTAAATCATTGACTTTGGATAGTACAAACTGTCACACTCTACTACACTTTGAATTATATTTTCAAATCTGAAGATTTTGTGGTAGGTTAGCCTACACTTGAGTGTGATGATGTTGGAATGATATTGAATTCCATTTTAATTTCTTATTTTGCACTTGCTGACACTTGTTTGCATTTTGATTAACTTATGGTGGTGTTTTGCTACACAGCTGCTTAAATTTAACAAAAGAGACTACTACTACAAAATAAGCTGTATTGACATGAGAAACAAGTCCGAAACTATAATTTAATATATCATTAGTCAATGGTTGTTTACTTTTGTTACGTTAATCAATGGCAAGTGTGTAACTATTTTTTAATATGTAATCAATTGTATAAGTGTGTAAATGAAAATACTATGAACTATGGAACCGAAAGGGTAAAGTAAGATTTAAACCCACTGTTTGTATATGTGATTTATAACCATACAATTTTTAGGATTTTTAACAGTGACATTTTTATATTGTTCTTTTTGCTTATCTTGAAATTGATGTAATGAGCTGCAGGGATAGTAGAACAATTTGGCCAAACATAATTATTATATGTAATTCAATCTCAACTTATTGATTTGTTGCTTCATGACAATATCCTATTTCAAGATTAATTTTCACCCACTTACTTTTGGTATAAGTAGGTATTTCAAGTAAACACACTTTTAAGTAAGCCTAACTTTAAAATTTAAAAATAGTTTCATACGTGTGACAGCGCTACTAATTTCTTGCTAGGTAGACTAATAAATTTTCACCAATTAGCAGAATAAAAAAAAAAATATATATGTATACTTATATCAAATGAAAGCGGTGCAGGTAAATTTTGTTTCTTATATTGATCATCGATTTGTAACTATTTCATACGATGAACTTGAAGAAATATGTTTTTCCTCCACTACCACTCCCCCTTGCAAAGCAGGGGTATAGCGACTAGTTGATTAATATCATCTTCAAGCCTTTTAAGTTGCTGTGTGTCAGAAGTAATGCAACTGGTGCTTTTTGGTCACTGGCTCTTAGTTAGTAAACTAATATGAACAAATTTTATCCATGAACAACATCAATTGGATTTTTTTTAATGGCTTACAAAGCAGGTTTGACAGAGCCTGTCCACCAAGAACTTATTTAAAATTCACTTTATTGCATCATGAATAATTGTTAAGTAATTTGAAAACACAATCTTTTATTTAGCTTTATTTTGTATTAGAGTGTTAGTTTTAAGTGCTTACTAAACAAGTGTATAAAATGTGGATTTTGTCCCAGCAATTGCTGTGATGGGTAGTAGTCTGGTAACACTTGACCCTGACCAAGTACAGTCCAACATGTTGTTTGTGAGCCTCCCTACACCCCATGTGACTGCAGCTGATTTCTGTCAAAGACTGTACCAGGTAAATACAACATCAACTTGATGATACCAATGGCATTTTTATACATCAAAATTTGTTTACAGAATTACAGGTTTTTTTATAAATTAAGTCTGAAAACATACTGATTAGAGATGGATGGGTCCAAACATCTCGGGATGATTTCTAAAAACATCTTCTCAATCTTTGGGATAGGATGAAATTTAATTTGTGATTTTCTTAGACTTAAGACGTGATTCATCCCAACCATTAGAGATTCCAGAGAGATGTTCGTACTATGAACGGTGATGTCCCCGTCCGTGATCATGGATTCTACTTTGTTTTTTTTTTATAATAATTGTTAACAGCTAAGTGAAAAATAAAGACAAAAATACATGCAATGATTTTGCAATTGGTTGTTTCAAGACAAGTATACTCAATATATTTCTGAAACTATAAAGTATAAATTTAATTAAATACAGAAAAGAGGGTATTATTTTAAAGTTATTGTTTTTCTATGGTTTTATTTAAACCTATACTCAATATATTTCTGAAACTATGAAGTATAAATTTAATTAAATACAGAAAAGAGGGTATTATTTTAAAGTTATTGTTTTTCTATGGTTTTATTTAAACCTATACCGTTCTCTTTGTTTAATTATAGGTAAACCAAAATATTTTTAATTTTTACAATATTTAAAAACTGTTTAAGATAAAGGGAAAATTTATGGATATTAAATGTATTTCCAACAATAACAAATATAAAATAGTAGGCCTACCGTTGTCACTTGAATAATCTGCGCAAAATATATTTGCTGTTCTTAAGAAACCATTTTTCAAGTCCAGTAAATAAACTCTGCACTTGCATGGTTAAAAAACCTTGTTTTCATAGTCCAATCTTGTATGTTATAAGTAGTAAAAAAGAAAAAAAATGCTTTTTAGTCAGTCATAAAAAAGAAATTGATAAAACCTTAAGCCTGTATTCACAATGCTAGACTGATCATAGAAGATTTTTAAGTTTAGCTTTTATTTGTGCAGGTAACAGAAGAAGAAGAAAAGTATCTTGGCAGTGAAAACAGTTGTGTCATCAAGCTATTTAAAGTATCATCAACCCTGGTGAGGATGGTGGTCTGCTGCAACATCAGTGCTGACGACGTGCAGGCGGCAATACGGAAGCTGCAATATGTTGTGAAGGAATATGATTCTAAAGCAAACGTGTGATTAAATGTAGGATTAGCAAATGTTTGCTGTGTTAATCATTCAAAAAGTATTTAACATTTTCCATTTTCGTTCCATTCTCACTCAACCAAAGTGCAATGAAGAGTACTAGAAAAGGTCTCTGTCATAATAATTATTTTAAATAATACCCAATATTGTTTTTTTATAATGTTTTGGTATCAAAATGCCTTCACACATCTTGAAGTATCAATAACCTTTAGTCCTATGCCTTGCTTATGTTAAACCATTATCTTATGCATATTTAGTTATTTTGAGATTTTAGCTTTATAAGTATAATGAATCCATCTTAATAAGATGGCCTTTAAAATGAAAATGCCTTTAAAATGAATTAATCTAAATATTTATCAACAAAAATGCTACCTGTGATAGGATTATAATTGTTACCAAGTAAATGTTAGTCCACTAAAGTATTTACAAGTGTATGTAACTATTATTTATTTATGAATAATTAATAATTTTTTAACAGTATTCTTAGTTTTCTTGCGTATACCTACAGTGAAATGTAATTTTTTGTATGAAATAAATAGATAAGCCTTTACGTAATAAAAATGTATTTATAAACAAGTTAACTACAAATTTCTTATTATCCATAAAATAGCATGAGAATTTAAAATCTACAGTTTTTCAGAATTTTTTTTACCATTTTAGAGTACAACAATGCTTCAATAGCCCAATATATTAAATTATCTATTTATTTAAGCTCCACAAAATGGTATAGGATGAAATTGCAAAATTGTATGAGGAACTCTCTCTTTTTTTACCCCATAAAACCTTAAATCATAAAATTCTGATTATGCTGGTACATCAACTAGTTGGAATAGAAGTAGATGTATACATTTTTACAAAATTTAATCAAAATGATTTTTAGTAAACTTTTGTGCTAACGGAAACACATAATATTTGTATGTCAGGCTTGAAAAAGGGACCCCAAGACATCTGAGTCCCACCTTGTAATGATGCACTTATTGTTTAGTAACTGTTATAAGAAGTATGATTTTTACAGTTAAATAATATTTTTATTTAGAAATTTGCCTTTTAAATAATATTCAAGACACAATTTCCTGTGTAATAACCAATGATTCCTGTGATTAGTTAAATCTTATATAATACTAGCAGAGTACCCATCCCTTGCATGGGGTTGGCGTATAAGTATAAGATGCTTATTGCAGTTATACTTGGCTTTGCGTTTGCAATGGGAGAGGACACGGTTTAAGAAAATTTGGTTCTTTTAATTTACGGTATGCTATAATATAGCACAACTACAATAGCCATAATGTTCTACCACTGCACCGAAATGATAAAAAAAATTAAATGTCTCATTGTATACCACAGCTTTTTGTTGCTAGTTGGTTCAAATTAGCTATTGTCATAAATGAAAAAAAATTAATAGTGCTGCACACGGTTGGCAAACCTTATAACTTCTTTATGCTTTCGCATATCATAGAACTAACTTTTTAAGTTGAAACAGATTAAAAATCTTTAATTCCTTTTAAATTTGAATACTCATAAGGCTAACATGGGCAAGTCTAGAGCCAATGGGGTGGAGCCCGAAAGGATTTTTGAGATAAGAATATGTCTATATGTTAATCTTGAATGTGAGCTATCAGCTATCACCTTACCAATTTTCACCCCAATCTGACCATTAGTATGATTCAAACAAACAAATAAACACACAAACTTTCACATTTATAATATTAGTTAGAAGTTAGATGTTAGAATGGATTGTTTTTTGGCCTCTGAAGACAACAAAACCAAAAATTAAATCGGTCCCAACTCTTTGTCTTATCATGAGACCTACAGTAATAGCATATTATTACCTATATGTGGGAAATTGCTAATATTCGGTATATGAGAAATTCACTAAAAACTTAGTCCGTTGCACCATTGACGTTGCACTAAATACTGCATTAAAAATTTAATATGTAGGGTACATTAAACAAAGAAATGAGGATGGATATTCCTATATTTATTGAACAAAATAACTTAAAACATTTAGTTATATGTAATATGTATTGGTGTTTTAACCTACAGCAAGTTTGGAGAGTGATTTGAAATAATAGTGTAAAGCCATTGTAAAGCCCACAAAGAGGTTAAGTATGTAGGAGAAGTAACATTTTTCAACTGGTCTTTATATCATCACCTATGATTTAGGCCTAATTTTAATTTACTTGTTTACTTTTTGTATGTTTGGGCTTGATGTACACATTTTTCTTCTACTTTTACTAAAGATCATTATTAAGCAACATATATTTTTCTCAGACCTTGGTGAGCGATTCCACAGTGAAAATTTACGACTACACAACTGTCTCGTATGTATTTGTGGTTTAAAATATTATCCATTTGGCTGACTAAACAACCATTACATTAAATAATCTTAAACAGTTAATTGGCACAACCTTGTTTTTATGTATTCCCTAATTTATTGTTATCGTTTGAGCACAAGTATTGTTGTAATCAGTAAACAAGTTTTTAATTATTTGAAAATGATAGCAAGCAACATTACAACGCTGATATCTGAACAACATTTTAGATTTTATTAATGCAATTTTAATATTTTAGTTACTTGAATAGTGAGAGCTCTGCTTTAGAATATAAATAAATGGGAAAGCTTGTTGTAGATCCTCAGAAAGTGGATGAGCAATAAATCTAGTGTGAAATTGCATGACAGAATTCATGATTTGATAAAGTAAGGTACTCTAAAGGTATTACTCTAGGTGGTACTAAAGGTATTACTCTAGGTGGTACTCTAAATGTTATCTGCATTGTCGTTTTGTAAAGACCTGTGGAATTATGTAAATAATATCTTCCATACAACAAAACTCTTTGTTCATAATTAGTTATGAAAAATATCATAATGCTGCAATTCCAGTTGATTTGTAAAATGAAAATCACTTTCTGAAAGGAAATGAAAATTTGAATCTATGCTGTATTGTATAAACTAAAAGGCAAATAAAATGACATACCCCTTGCTTAATTAGTCTTAAGATATTTTAAATCATAATTGAACATTTACTTAGCTGGTGTTTTAAAGTGTAAAAGTAAGAAATTACAAGAACAACCAAACACCACTGAACATTGAACAAGCTGGGAAGTTTATGATGCTCCTTAAGCGAGATTTAGAATGTAAATCTGGCGTGGTTTCTCGTAAGATTGTTTGGTCAGCCTCTGCAGTGAAGAATGGGGTGATTTGGTGGGAATAGGATTTGTGAGAGATTAGATATTCAGCAGTTGTATTTTCCTGAAGTAACAAGATCATGCTTGACAATTAATTGCCTTTTAAATTATGTTTAAAAAATAACATGTTAAATACCTACAAATAAGTAATGAAAATACTTCTTCTTGTGATTGAATATAGAATATTAAAGGTAGAGTAAGTGTAAAGGGGGATGTAACAAAACCCATTTTCAACAGACAGGGGCTATTAAAAAGTTTCTTCTCAGAGTCTGCTGAATTAATGCATCAGTAAATTAACTTTAGGAGATGGAGGAAATGGAAATATTTACTACGTTTAAGTTGTTTGGAAAATTAAGATAAATTAATTAGTAGATGAGTAGTAGATGATTAGTAGATGAGTAGTACTCAATGAGTAGATTTATCTGCATTTAGTATTCAAAAGCAACATTACAATAAATAAACACATTCTAACAATAATGTAGTGTACATAATAAAGTTCTTTGTAAATATAGGCCTACAATACTTAAAAAAATAATATTTCCAAACAATTTATTTATGAATGGAGGAAAATAATTACCGGTACCAATGTAATACACTATAACTCATGTTAGCTACAATTTCTCTGCCATTCTTGTAATTTGAGATTTATACAGGGTGACACAGAGGAACCGGACGTTTTTTAACCAGCTGTTCCATTGTTGTCGCACGTGGTAGGAAGATTGAGGTTATGTCATAACATTCAGTGAGGCTTGCCATTTTTGTTGAAATGGCCCAGTGGACCGTAGACCATCGTGTTTTCGCCTACGATACTTTTGTAAAAAATGGCGAATCCATCGTCAAAACCCAGCGGGAATTTCGTCGGCATTTTAATATTGAACGTCATGGAACGGTTCCAAGCCGAAATACGCTAATAAGATGGGTTTCAGGGTTTCGAACAACTGGGTATATAACAAGAAAGAAACCACCGGGCCTTGTGAGAACTTCGAGAACACCCGAAAACATCGCCAGAGTAAGAGAAGCATTGACAAGGAGTCCAAGCAGGTCTGCGCGAAAACATGCTCAAGAGTTGAACATGAACCGCGAATCGGTAAGGAGAATTCTTCGGAAAGATCTTAAGTACCATCCTTATAAAATACAGGTAGTGCAAGAACTTAAAGTGACTGACTATAATAAACGAGTAAACTTTGCATCGCAAATGCAAATATTGTTTAACAACAAGCCGAACATGATATTGTTAATGAGTGATGAAGCCCACTTCCACCTTAATGGCTCGGTAAACAAACAAAACTTCCGTTACTGGTCCAGTCAGAATCCCCGTAACATTCATGAAAAACCTCTACACTCTCCCAAGGTTACAGTTTGGTGTGCGGTATCCCATTCCTGTGTTATTGGGCCGTATTTTTTCGAGGAAAATGGTGTAACAGTGACAGTGAACTCTCAACGCTATGTCCACATGTTGAACACATTTCTCCGTCAAGAACTTTGCAGACGTCAAATAAACCGAAGAAGGGTTTATTTTCAACAGGACGGTGCTACAGCCCACACTGCAGACCAATCAATGAGAGTCTTGAGGCAAATGTTTCCTAACAAAGTGATTTCTCGCTTTGGTGACATACCGTGGCCGCCAAGGTCACCTGACTTGTCCAGCTGTGATTACTTCCTTTGGGGGTTTCTGAAGGAGCGTGTTTATGCTCACAAACCACGCACTCTAGAGGATTTGAAGTTGGCAATTACAGAAGAGATCAATGGCATTGAACAAGACCTCCTGACCCGAGTTTCAGATGATTTTCAGACCAGAGTGAACATTTGTAGAGAAGTTCATGGCCACCATATGCGTGACGTTATTTTCAAAAAATGACTGTTTGGTAACAAATGGCAAATGTTTACCTCGCTATGTACAGTATTAAAACCATTTTATTCCTTTTTACTACTGTGTACTACTTATTTAAAAAACGTCCGGTTCCTTTGTGTCACCCTGTATAAACAGCCACGAATCAAAATTGTTGAAAAAAAAAACAATTTCCTTTAAACAAAAATAATTTAAATAAATATTATAATTTTTATCAAAGGGCAATATTGTTAAGAGAGCTAATCCGAGAAAATTTGAGTTCAGGAACAAATAGATTCAAAGTATATTGGTACAAAACAAACTGATAATTGGTCCTAAAATAGATCCTTTTTGGACTCATCTCCATTAATACTTGGCTACATACTTATATAAAGTACATACTCTGTATTGTCACCATTTAAATAAAAGGTATTAAAGTATTGAAGGGAGTTTATATAGTGTGTGTGATAAAGTAAGAGTCTGTTTGCAGGGGGGGGGGGCTAATGTAGTTTACATTACAGCCTGGTCACT